CGTAAATTTAAATGAAATGCTACAATGATCAGAATAATCTTGTTACAGAGAGATTTGATTACTATTAATAAGAATGAAGAAAAAGACAACAATTTCACAGTTAATTAATACAATATTATTTTACTATCTGATGAAATTATTTTGAATTAAAATTTCTAATTTAAATTAATGAAAACATTAAAAAAGTCAAATTAAATGTCCTAATAGGAACAAAAAATATATTATAATTATAATTAATAATAATAATAATAATACGATACCGCAGAATAATTTATCAAATAATAATCGTAGTAATGACAGATCATTGGAAAAAGGAACTAATAAGGGAGAAGAATGGAAAAGTTGATTTGATGAGGCGGAAAGAAATTTTCTTCAATCCCGAAGAACAGTGTGTAACATTAATTGAATACTACCTTTTCACATTATTAATACTACTACTATCATCACTACTACTACTAACCTACTACTACCACTATTACTAATGCCACACACTACTAATATTGCTACTAATGCCAAATAACATCCGGTTATTAACATGATGATAATAATAGAATGTTGTAGATGTGACCTCGAAGGATGAATGCATAAAATGTATAGCTTTAATTTATTCTCTCAAATAAATTGAAATTTTAAAATTATGCAAATTTTGATAAAGTTATTATTGTTGGATGGTAACCTAATAATTATAATAATTGTAGCATTTAATGGTCAAATTTCAAGGTAATAAAAAATGCAATTTTTTGTTGAATTATCTTTGCTATAAAAATTTCATTCAAAATGTTGAAAAAAGACTTTACAAATGAATGATCATTTTTAGACAAAAAGCATTCAGGATTAATGATTAACTAATTAAGATAAGAAATTCGTAAGGTTTTATTTTCAAAATAAATTTTGTCTGAAAATACCTCGTGTAACGATTCGTTGACCACTAAGGAAATTAGCATCACAATTATCTGGTAGTGGTGTACGAGAATTTTCCACAAAAAATAATACTGTTGATGGTGTTAAACCACGTTGACGTAAACGATGTTCTAAACAGTCACGTAGTTTTTGACCTGGAATTGGTTGTACCTTTTCCGGAATTCCAATTGCACGTCCTGAAAAAAGTCGAACGAAAAAAATAAAAAGAATAAGTGAGTAAGAGATTAAAATAATGATAAATGGAATATTAAAATTCACAACATTATATAATAATATGGAAATATTGATTGTTTTTGAAATTTTCTCTAATAACCAATCGATAATTCTCATCGATTAAATATTATCATCCATGGATTCTCGGAATTTTCTTAACTCCTTCTTAACTCGTTATCAGAAATTCTCTACTAATAAAAAGATGATATGTTATCAGAACTTCTCTAATGATAAAAAGATGATATTCTAGTTTTTAAAAAAGGATTATTTTTAATTGAGAATTTAATATAAGTTATTCAAAGATTCCGTAATTCAAAATCTATCATGAACATACAGATTTTCCGGATTTATTTATAAAACATCCTAATGACTATTAAATATCGCATATTAACTGGACGTAAAATTATTATTCAAAATATATTAATTATTTTAACGATATATTTTAATTGAAAAAAATAAAACAAAATTTTCAAATTTATATTTCGATCATACGGCGAAAAATACTTTTAAAAATGGGAAAGAATTTTAATAAATAACTGTTGAAAAAATGATGCATAACTGTTGAAAAAATGATACACAACTGTTGAAAAAATGTTGTACACATTAATTAACTATCGTTTGAAAAATTCTTTTTCATCGCAATTAACAGAAAGAATAATATGTATAATATAAAATTAGAAAATTTGAAAATATGTCATTTTGAATAGTTTTTCTTTTTTTTTGCCGAAATATTTCCGTTCTTTTAACTTTGTTAAATAATATTTGAATTTAATAATGGAAAAGAAAATAATTGATTAATGATATTTGATTAGTTAAATTTCAAAAATTTTATTAATAAAATGAGATATATATATAAAATAGTCAAGGTGATAATAATAATCACTAAAGCTAAAATCATAATTAATTATCTGAGAATTATAATCATGAGAGAATTACGATTGTGATAGCATAATTACAGTGGTAATTGTTAGAACCAAAAATAATAATATAACTAAAATGATTTTTTTATCTATTGATATTATGAATTTAGAAGACACACACACACACACACACACACACACACACACACACACACACACACACACACAAACATATCTTTACAGTGTCTTAGATAATACAAGCAACTTTTAAACAATGTTTGAAAATGTATGTTTATGTGTTTGTGTATGTGTGTGTGTGTGTGTGTGTATGTGTGGGAGGGTGTTTCTTATCATGATATGATCATTGTTAACATTTCAATCTACCCTCTTTCTTCCGAAGGGATGCTTTCCTTCCTTTCTTTTTTAAAATTAAAATGCAAAGTAACCAAATTTTAAGAGACTATTTTGAATATGAACTTCTGATAATGCAAATACAAAATATTGTTATCATGTGACTTATCAGCAGATGAATTCATATCATTTAATTTCTAATATTAGTAATTGTTAAATTCATTAAATAAATTATCAGCAGATAAATTCTTATCATTTAATTTTTGATATCAAAAATTGTTAAATTCATTAAAAATAATTATTTTCAAATATTTTACATTAACATATTTCGTCGTATTAATTTTAAAGAATGAATTTTTCACTTTCTTTTTCCTACATAAATTAAATTTACATTTATCAAAAACAAAAAGCAAGAAAGAAAGTAATTAACCATATTCGTCGTAATATTCGACATGAAATGTATTGCAATATTCATGCCTTCGATTTAGATCCATAGACGATGGACAACGACTCTAAAATGATTACAACATTATCAAGAAATCTTCCACAACTAATTAATAATAATAATAAATAGTAATAATAATAATTAATAGTAATAATTAATGATTAATAGCAATAATAATGATAATATAATAATAATATTGATTTATTCTATTATTTGAATTTCTTCTTTCCTCCAACTGATAGCTTTAAACTTAACTCCGATACCATCGGGATATAACGATATCATATCATGCAAAATGATATAATTTAAAATTAAAAAATGAAATATTAATATTAATATTATCATTTCCAACTTTAATATCAATCCTCGAGAGATGATAACAGAGCTGAAATATATTCTATAACTTTCATTTCATATAAAATTCATATTTTTTAAAAACAAGTAAGAAAAGATAATGCTATTATTAATAATTAAGTTAACTATATATGTATAAATAACTATTTATTACTTTATCTTTTCACTTCATACTTTCTTAAACATTTTATTATTTAATATTTCTTTTTTTTAAAATTTGTTGCTTGAAATTATACACTCTGTTAACTCAATGATAAGCTCATTTAATTTTATCTTTTATCATATGGTCATTCCTCTGGTCACTACAAAATAATTCAATTATAATTATTATCTTTACAGTATTTTCATCTTTTGATGGTTTTTTTTTTTTTTAGGAACAGTCCATTTCGTTAATCTTTCATCGAAATTTGCCCGAAGATATTAATCAAACATATATCATCGAATGAATTATCAAAGGTATTGCTAGGAAAAACGATGATATAAAAGTATTTACAGGTATGTACAGGTAGATACACATATACGTTCAATTTTCATATAGCATATGAAAGAGAAAAACGAATTACAGACAGTTAAAGCTTTATCGTAAAGAAAAGAAAGAAAGAAATTTATAGCTTATGAATTTTAATAAAATGAAATTTAAAAATGAATTCCCATTTCGAATTTGTCCGAACAAAACTAGCCAACCCTCTAAATACAAATTTAAAAATCGTATGTTCCTGCTTCACTCATCTCCCGGTGAATACCACATTCATCTGTCCTCTCTTTTTTTCCACAGACGCATGATTTTTTACAGAAAACCGGTTATTGAGATATAACCGTTGATTTATACGAATTCATATGAATACATACATACATATACAGAAATATACACCGATACACAGATACACAGACATACATACATTTCCAGGCATGAAAACATAAATTTACCATGCATATTATATATATACGTAATTCATGATAATGATAACGATAATATTGATAACATTTAAATAACAAAGAAATGATGAAATTATAACTCATGTTATCACATAGTATTCATTACTAAAGCTGTAATTAAAGAAAAAATCAACTATTCGTTAACATTGTTGACAAACTGTAGCATTAAAAAAAGTTTTGAGAAAGAAACGGAAAGAGAGAGAGAGAGAGAGAAAGAGAGAGAGGAAAAAAAAGCAGTAATTGTACTTACAATAAAATGTGGATCGCTTATAACGATTACTTTTATTACAGTTACCTGTAATAACGATTACTATTATTACTTGTTATAGGTAATTGTAATAAGTAATAATAGTAATCGTTATTAGCGAACCACATTTTATTGTAGCTACCTGTAATAGGTTTTAAACTTTACTACTTATTGTGGTTACCTGTAATAAATAATAAAGTCTAAAACGAGCATAATGATGGAATAAATTATAATATAATAAACTCAGTACTGTATAATTGTATTAACGAACATAACTATTAACAATATCCATCTTAAATTATACAACAAATTTGCATGCACTAAGATTTATATTTCAGATTGAAATTTTCTATGATTTTAAATGAAATTTCATACCTTACTTCTATACCTGTACTTCTATTTCTTTAAATGGAATTTCATATCTTAATTTTATACCTGCCAGTGTAATTATCATAAAATTAACTTAAATTAGAAAGAAAAAAAAAACAAAAACATTCCTCTTTATATCATTAAAAAAAGAAAGTGCAAAAATTGTAAATATTTATAAAAACCGTTAACAATATAAGAACCGGAATTTTAATGATTAGAGTTATAGAAAAGGTAACATTTCAGGTAACAGGATTCAGTTATTTTTTGAATGTGTAAAATTTTTTTGTTTTAAAATTAGCTAATATTAAATCGAATAATTCTCTCCTCTATCCATCCACAGATATGATAAATGAATGATTGTAAATGAAATTTAAATAAATGAATAATTGTTAATCAAATTTAAATATAGCTAATATTAAATCAAATAATTCTCTCCACTCACAGATATGATAAATGAATGATTATAAATCAAATTTAAATATATCGTAGATATCATCGATAAACTCAAGTGTGAATGCAAATTAAATGATATATGTTGTGTTAGTACTGCTAATATATTAGTGAATTATAAATTAAAGATAGCTTAGGTTAAATTAAATAATTTAAATTGAATAAGATTTAATTAAATTTTAATTAACTTCTCATCTTACTTAAAATACTAATTAAACAGGTAAGAAATACAATGACAATTACATGTTTATACATTCCCTATCATCGTATAATATGCAACACTTATAAATTTTATTTCATTTATATCAAAATTTTTAGACATATGATTTTCGTATAGTTTTAAAGTTTATTAAATTTAATTCAATTTAAATTATCGAATTTAACCTAAACAAATTAAAAAACAACAGCATATTGCGGTAGAAAATGTATACCTTTCACTTTTATGTTTAATTTAGAAAATGGCGAATTATTCATCAATTTAACAAATCATACGCTCTCTCTCTCTCTCTCTTTTTCTCTCTCCTTCTCTCTTTTTCTCTCTCCCTCACAAACACAACATATTTGCTATTATCTGTGAAAGTTAATAAAACATTCATAACGACCTATTTGAAAAGTATGAATAAACCGATACCATTGAAAAAACGATTCGAAAATTTCTTGAAAATATAAAATTTTTACTATTTAACATCGAAATTCCCTCTCTCTCCCTCTCTCTCTCTCTCTCTCAAAACTAACAAATCCGTCAATTTAAATTGATTTAAAAATTTATAATTTAACAAAAATAAAATTTATTGTTTATATTTATTCATTTAAATCGTAAAATAAATTTTCCGTATAATTATTCGATTTTTCAAAATTTAAATTTAATAATAGGTTAAATGTTATTATAGGTTAAACGAACAAAGCAATATATTATCAAATTTTAATTTTAAAAATTAAATATGGTTAATTTTGAAATGAAATGAAAGTTAAGCGGATACGGTATCGTTAATTATTCCAATTTCTTTTTTCTCTTAATTAACTTTTTAAATTTCTAATCTTGAAAATTAAATATTGGAAGAATCAGGAAAATACGATATTTAGAAATATGAAAAAAAAAAAGGAAAAGCGATACCTACCGGAATATCTTCCGTACAATCAACGCTGAAACTTTTAACTAGCAATTTCCCACTGCGCTTCATCATCATATCATATAAGCTTTCTAAAATCCCAACGATAGGTGAGCTCTCTTGCATTAACACACAACACTTCAATTCTTCGATTTTTATTATCATGAAGTTTTATTATCAATGATAAAAAAGAAATCGATGTGTTATTGATTGTGATTAATTAGAAGGGGAGAGAAAAATTGGAAGAAAAATGAAATGAAGGCCTTTTTCTTTTCTTTAAAGATCAATTCTTCAATTTACAAGCACAATCGATAGATAAAAATTGAATTGATTTTTAAACTTTCCTTCATTACATGTAAATATTTGGTGTATCGCGGGAAAGAAATGCAACAAAATCCTTAGATATCCTAAATCGAAAAATTCAATTTGAACAGATTTGTACATGAATTTTGATTATTCCAAGAGATTTGAAATATATATATATATGCCAGAATGTGATGGGATCATTCAATAAAAACTAAACGTAAATATTTGGTGTACCGCGGGAAAGAATGAAATGTAATAAAATGATTAGACATCCTATATATATTTAGGCATATATATGCCAGGAAGATGGAGAGGCCGAATAATTCAGTAGAAATTACTTAATGTAAATATTTATTGTATCGCGGGAAAGAATGAAATGTAACAAAATGCTTAAATATCTTAAATCAAAATATTTGATTTGAACAGATTTTTATGATTATTCGAGGTTTCAGATATATATATGGGCCAGGAAGAGGCGGAATAATTCAGTAGAAATGACCTAATATCAATATTTGGTGTATCGCGGGAATGAAATGTAACAAAATGCTCCGATAACCTAAATTGAAACGTTTGATTTGAACAGATTTTTAATGTTTGAAATTCATATACATACCAGGAAGAGACAGATTAATTCAGTAGCAATGACCTAAAATAAATATTTGGTGTATCGCGGGAATGAATGAAATGTAACAAAATGCTTAGATAGCTCAAATCGAAACATTTTGCTCTGAACAGATTTCTATATAAATTTTGATTATTCGAGGAAGTTTAAAATTTATATATATACCGGGAAGAGGCGAATTAATTCAATAGAAATGATCCCAAATATAAATATTTGGTGTATCGCGGGAATGATACACCAAATATTTATATTTGGAAATGTAACAAAATGTTTAGATAACTTAAATCGAAAAATCTATATAAATTTTGATTATTCGAGGAAGTTTGAAATTCATATATATATATATATCAGGAAGAGGCGAATTAATTCAGTAGAAATGATCCCGAATATAAATATCTGGTGTATCGCGGGAATGAATGAAATGTAACAAAATGCTTAGATAGCTCAAATCGAAACATTTTTGCTCTGAACAGATTTCTATATAAATTTTGATTATTCGAGGAAGTTTAAAATTCATATATATATATATATATATATATTTATGGCAGGGAGAAGGAAGGGAAAAGCGAAATCATTAGGAAAGTATTATATTTAATTCGAATGATTTTAATAATTATATCACATTTCAATCATAAATTTTAGTTACTTTGAAATGG